GGGGGGGGGGGGGGGGGGGGGGGAGGGGTTGGTCAGGTTGGTGGGTTCACAAACGTGGGTCTGGGAGGGTGCAGCCCCAAAGGCTGGCGGCCAGCTCTCGACCGCAGCTTCCCACGAGGGTATGACAGGGCATGCCGGTGCCGTGTGGCGACGAGCGCGGCGCGCGCGGCGGCTGGGGCGGCTCGGTGGCAGTGCCTGGGGCTCACCTCATGTATCGGTCGCACTGCAGCACATGCACGGGAAGGGGGAGGGCACGCGCGCCGGGAGAGGCGTTTGATGAGCTCAAGCGATTTGCGGGGTAGAAAACGATACGCCATGATGGCACCCTCAGGCGCTGCCAGGGGCAACAGGGCGGGACACCACAGGCCCAGCCGTTGCTGCAGCCACGCCTATGCGCAACAGCGCGGTCGCAGCAAGCGTCCCAGGCATGCGGCGCCGATGCTTTGCAGGGCGTCGCTGGGTCCCACCAGGGCGTGTATGCGTGCCACCGCGGTGCTGTTGGGCGTGCCCTGCGGCAGCGGCCGCCGATTGTAGTATTTGGGGTAAGGCCCCTGCGGGCCGCCGCTGCCGTCGCCGCTCCCGCCGCCGCTACCGCCGCCGTCCTGCAAAGGCTCCCCACCCGCCGCGCCCGCCGCGCCGCCCCACGCCGCGCCCGGCGCGTGCTCGGCTGTGCGGCCGGGGCGCCCTGCATTCGCGGCCTCCGCGGCGGCCAGCGTGTCTAGTGACACCCCCGCCTCCTCCTCCTCCCTCTGGAGCGCCATCAGCTCCCTCGACGCGTGATGCAGGAACTTGCGCCACCTCAGCTTTGCATCTTCAGGGGTCATCTTCTTTATGTCCTCTATCGTAGGCACCGGCTCGTTCCACCAGTCCTCCCGCGGCGCCCCGCCCGCCGCGCCCGCCGACCCCGCCGCCGCCGCCGCGTCCTGCGCGGGCCGCTGCAGCTGCTGCCGCTGCCATGAGGACATGACGTCATCGGAAGCATCCAGGCTGCCGCTGCCGGCGGACGGTTCGGGGGCGGCGCCGCCGCTCGGGCTGCTGCTCGCGCGGGGGCCGCCCGCGCAGCACATGGGCGCGTCCTCGGACGCGCCGCCGTTCGAGCAATCGGGACGCTCGGGCCAGATCATGCCGAAGTTCTTGATGATGTCAATCTGAATTTATTCATTTATTGCCGGTACCAGGGGAACAAAGGCAGGGGTGAGCCCGCAGGCGAGGGAGCACGGTCTATGCGGCAGGCCGTCGTTTGGCACACTCGGCCGCAAAGCGGGCACCATCCGGCCGCGCATGCAAAGAGCCGCCGGAGCCGCCGCAGCCGTCGCTGTCAGCCTTCAGGCCCTAGGACCCCCGCACAAGAAATCAAGGCTCGGTCACAGCAGCTCCTGCTGCTGTGCCCACCTGCTCCTCCCTGCCCTCCACCGCTCGCTCAAGCACGCTGCTCCTGAGCTTGAGCATCTCGTTCTCTTGGGCCAGCAGCTGCATCTGCTCCAGCTTGGAGGTGACCTGGCAGGGAGTTCGGTAGGGTTCAGGGTTCGGGGCTCAGGGGGCTAAGCCCAGGGTTCAGAGTTGACGTTTCAAGGTTCAGGGGTCAGTGGAGATATTTCAGGTCAGGGGTTGGAAGTAGCAAAGAAACACTTGGAGGTTTGCTGGCCGGGCCCTGACCGGCGGCGTTGAAACCAAGGCGTGGGCCGCTGTGCGGGGATTCACTGGGGCCTGCTCGCAGGACGCCTCTGGACGCACCCCAGTCCGGACGCGCCCTGCCGGCCAGCTGCGCGTGGCTGGGTTGCGCCCAGCCATGCCAGATGCGCATGTTTTTCCTTCAGGAACGCCAACCAACCGTAGAAATCCTGGGCGCCCACCTCGTGCTCCAGCTCATGAATGAGCTCCTTCTGGCGCTCCCTGCGACACCACGGGGGCACGTTGCGTCGGAAGTCGAGGGGGCACGACGCAGGGCGGGGGCCCCGGAGCAGCGAGCGGTGCGGCCTGATAGGACGAGCATGCGGAGCAGGGGCCGGGCGCCCACGGCGATTGAAACATGGGGGTGCGTCGGGGCGAGATTGGTGAGGCGCAGGCTCGCGGGTGCCCGCGGCCCCCACCTGAAGCGCTGGGACGACGCGCGCTTGCCCCCAGGCGCGGCGGCCTTGGGAGCCGCCGCCGCCGCGCCCGCCGCGCCACGAGCGTTGCTGTGGCTGTGACCTGCGGTGGGCAGCGCGCTGCCGCCGAGCGCGGCGCGAGTCGCGGGGTCCGACGCAGCAGAAGACCCGCCAGAAGACGAGCGGTCCGCCGACGCGAGCGCGCCGCCGCCGCCGCCGCCGCCGGCCGGCGTGAACGCCATGCGCAGCCGCGACTGCGCCTGGCAGAGCAGGGGGTCCCGCATGGCGCTGGGGCGCTGCTGCTGCGTCTGGTAGATGTGCGCCTGGTGCTGCGCCTGGACCGCGGCGATCTGCTGCGCCTCGCGGCGGCCCCCCGCAGCCTCCTGTAGCTGCAGCACCTGCTGCAGCTGCGGCAGCAGGACCGGGGCCTGCTCCTGCGGCTGCGGGGGGACGGCGGCTGGCTGCTGCTGCTGCTGCTGCGGCGGCGGCGGCGGCGGCGGCGGCGGTGGCGGCACGGCTGTGGCGTTCGCCTGCGTGGCAGCGCTGACCTGGCGCAGGGCGTACAGTCCAGGGGCCACCTGCACCAACTCATGGCCGGGAGGCAGCTTCACCAGCCGTTCGCCGTCCCCAGTATCCTTGGACGCCTCTCCTCCTGCCGCCGCGGCCGACGCAGCCGCCGCCGCCGCCGCGCCGGCCCCGCCGCCGGCCACGGCAGGGGCCGTCGGCTGGGCGGGCGCGAGGTCGATGCGGGGTCCAGGGGTGGCCATTGAACGGAAGACGCTCGAGTGCTGCTGCGGGGCGGCTGGCGCCGCGCCTGTGGGGGCGTTGCCGCTGGCGCCCGTATCCAAGTCCATCCCGGCCCCGCCGCCGATGGTCCGCATGAGCCTGCAAGTACGAGCGTGTCGCCGGCCAGCGTCGGTGCGTCTGCTTGTGCTGCTTCCCAAGGCCTTGATGCGAACGGGCCCAAAACAAGCAAGGCTGGACCAGTCGCTGGTGCAACTGCAGTTGCAGCTGCCGCTGCTGCTATCATTGCTGTTGCTACTGCTGCTGCTATCGCTGCAGCTAAGGCTTCGGCTTCGGCTTTTGCTGCTGATCCTCGCCCAATGGCCATCGCAGCGACACTTCAGGAATCAGGATTAGCAGGACAGTGCACCCCGTTGCGATGCAGAGGTGCGCGTCCCCTGCCCGAGCGTGACTCACCAGCTGTCGAAGCCCGAATCCTCAAGCAGGTGCTCTGCATCCTGCAGCAGCTGTGTTGGGTCAAAGTCGAGCGAAATGGCACCCGAGTGAACAGGGTCCATCGCACAGAGGGCGGCGCTGCTGCGGCGCAGAAAGCAGCGGCGACGTGGCGGCGTTTGACGTGCTGTCTCGCCCCGGCAATGCTCTTCTTGCAGAGTTCCGGATGATTTAAGGTGCACGGTCACATGCGGTGCGCGTGGTCGCTGCACGCGGAGGATTCAAGCGAGGAAGATGGAAGGTGGCACCAGGCCGCAAGCACAGGGTTCCAAAAGCTGCCCATAGCTCGCGTGCGGATCACAAAGATTTTGCCGGCAGGTCGGTGCACCGGCAGCTGCCTCGAACCGACATTTTGTGTCACTCCCGCGGGTTCATAATCGCAGCACAGATGACCATCGCTGACACAAAACAGCTTTGCAGGTGCATTTCTTCGAGCAAGCATTGATTTGCATGCCTGAATCGCCCGTGATGGCACCCAGCTCGCCTACTGTTGCCGTCACGCCGCTTTGTCCCGCCTCCCAGCCCAGCACGGGCAGCACGGGCCCTGACATCAACAATTTCATCGATAGGCAGAGCACACCGCCGCGCGGTGTGCTCCAGGTACTTAAGCCTGGCCCCACTGGCGGCAAGCCGCTGCTGCGGAGCGTTGGCGCAGGCGCGTCTGGCCCCTCCGTCTTGACGCCCATTTCGAAAGGTGGCGTCTTGAGCGCCTCGTCGCCGGGCATGGGCCCCTCCGCGCCGACCAAGTGGGGCAAGCGGACGGGCACAACAGGTGTCGCACTGACGCCGTCGACGGGCGCGAGCATTGCGAGCAGCGCGGCTGCCAGGCGCCGCGCTCCCGGCAGCATCAGCAGCAGCATTGTCAGCAGCAGCATCAGCAGCAGCACCAGCAGTAGCACCAAGCGCGCCGCCTCCTCGATCAGCCTGCGCAGCGCCCGCAGCGCCGGCGCGCGTGACGCAACCAGTGGCAGCACCACCGAGGCGCGGGTCCTCGACACTGCATCGACGCTCTCTTGCACGAGCCGTGCTGCAGGCAGCCCTTGCACCCACAGCAGCATGCCAGCTCCCACCACTTCTGAAGACCTGTCCACGGCGGCCGCGGAGGCTGCAGCGGGCTCGCCTCCAGTCAACAGGGCGCTTTTCGCCGAGGCTGATGCAGCCGAGGGCGAGGCGGTCGGGGCGCACGCCGGCGCTCCCGGCGGCCCCGCCGCCTCGCCCGTCGCATGCGGCGATCCGGCTGGCTTGCCCAGAGAGCTGCTGGAGCCACAGGGCGCGGCTGGGGCCGAGGGCATGTGCCAGGGTGCAGCAACCGCTGCCGCAGACGCGCCTGCCACAGGCGGACGGGCGGATGCGTCTCTGATGGCCGAGCTGCTTCCGCTTGCATGCGGCATCCTCGGCCAGGTGGGGGGGCTGCTGCCATGCGCCGCGGGGCAGTGCGCTGCTTGCATGTGTCACATGCTGTGTCAGCTCGACTGCATGCATCCGCATGGCACGTCAAATGGCTCATGTTGTGGACAGGCGCCAGCCACCGTGCTTCATGCGTGCTTGACCGCATGTAGCAACGCCACTGTGAGCATGCGACACCATGCACGCATCGCGCCGCTGCATTACGTCAATACCCGCAGCTGCTGTTACTGCTGCCCCCATGCATGCGGTACCTCAAGCAGCATCATGGCTCGTTGTGTCCCCATGCAGGCCTCCATGGGTCCTGAGGCTCTAACAGCGGTGCTGGCCGACGGCGCGCCCGTCCAGAGTGCCGCCGCAACCGTTCTCGCCGCCGGCGCTTCCCCTCGTGCGGCTGCAGCCGCGGTGCTGCCACTTCTGCTTGCGCAGCTGGCGGGGCTCATTGCAACGGACGGCGGCCACGCGGCGGCTGAAGCGGAGGCGGCAGCAGCAGCCAAGCACAACAAAGACGGGTCCGGATACGGCAGCGGCGACGGCGGTGACAACAGGGTGGCTGAGGGCCGCAAGTGGCGCCGGCTGGTGCAAACGCACATGAAGGGCGGCTGGGCTGCGGCCGGCGGCGGCGGCAGCGGCGGCGCGGGGCTGCTGCTGCGCGCCCTGGGGGTCGCGGTTGTGGGCGGTGCTGGGGTGGTGGCGGGCGCGCTGGCGGTGTGGACCCTGGAGCCGGCAGCGAGCTTCGGCCTGGGGGGCTATGAATGGCCGGAGGCGGCGGTGTTTGTGAACGGGGCGTGGTGACTCTGTGTGTGTGTGTGTGTGTGTGTGTGTGTATGCATGCCTGCAATTTTTTCATCTCCTGGCTGTGCAGGGCTGTGTGCTGCCCTGTGTAAGCCTGGGCTGCAAACAATGTTTGCATGGCAGTGTCAACAAGTAGCGCGTGTACTTTGTAGTGGCAGCAAGGGGTTCAGGCAAACGACAGTGTTGCTCAACAGTAGTTGACCCTCTGCTCACATGCACGAGCGACAGGCTCATCCCATCCCACAGCGCATGGCAGCAATCTGAGAACTTCTCGAGGCTCGGCCTGGGGCCTTGAGAGCCTGTTGCAAATCAGATCCATTACCCTGTTGCAAATCACTTGACCACAAATATCTGCTGTGCGGCAGCACTGGTGACCAACAGCCATCACCACCTGCACAAGTCGCCAACCGTGACATCAGCATGAGTCATTCTGACACGAATGGCATGCCCATAGCGCAGATATTGGCTTGGAAATTTATGGTTTATGTTTCTAGACCCCAAACGCCTCACACACTTTATCATCCTGCTGTAAGCGCGTGAATTCGGCACTGGCGATCTGCGGACACCGTACAAGAGCAATGGCACGCAGGCTTGTGATCTTGACGATACTCATGGTTATTGGGCGAGCAGGTGCTCAGGCGCGGCATGCATCATCTGGCGAGGCGTGCTGGGGCGTGACTGCCCACCATCAGCGGTCCGCCGACAGGGGAGCATCAGTTGGACCGACTCCGTGAAAGCTTCAACGCCTTGACAGTTTTGCGAAGCACCATAATCATGGCAGCTGAACACCCCACTCACGTCGCCGCATATCCACACCGTACCATGCCACGTGGGGGCCCTTCGCCCACGTGCCGCTTCACACCATGCGCTTTTTGCTCGACCTGCGCCCCCGAAGACGCCTACGAGTACCTTGTTGGCGCCAACGCCCACTGGATGCCAAGCATCGCCGCTTTTGGTGATACAGCATCCGTGGACGCGGTCTTGGACGGCCTGCAGGTGCAGGGCGGAATGCGGGTGCTGGTGTGTCGGTTGCTTGGGCGTTGACTCTGCTCCTGCTGGGTGTAAGTCACATGCCATGCAGACAATGTCTGCTTCGTGCGTGCAGGTGTTTTGATATATCTAGGTTGTTGAGGTTTCCATTGCTTCTAGGCAAAGCTCTGCAGGCCTCGCTCGCACAACCTCACACACCGCTGCCCGCTTGCCGCCGCAACTGCCGTTGCTGACCCGACTCAGCGCCTCGGGGTGAAGCTGGTGCGCACCTGGGCGTTCAACTACCACTCACCCTCGGCCCCAGGGGTCTACTCAGACACCGAGCTGAGGTGCGCAGACCCCAAACTCAATCGGCCAACAATCCGGTGGCTCAGCATGCGCCAAGGGGGGCGCATGGGTTGTTGGTGCTCTGTGGGTGCCATTGGTTGAGTACCGCAACCACGCGAACCCCTCCGCCCACTGCCCTTGAGGTGCTGTGGCACGCGCGGATGGTGCCACCAGACATTCCCTGAAAACCACGCAGTCCATCCTTGCACAGTCGCAACGCGCGCCACGCGTCACCGGCCGCAGCCAGGCTTGCCACGAATCCCTGATGACGTCGGTCGCTCCGGCGCACCTGCCGTCGCAGGGGCCTGGACTACGTGGTGGCTGGCGCGCAGCGCCGCGGGATGCGCGTGATCCTGGCCCTCGGAAACTTCTGGACGGTGGGTGCTCTGCTGGGGAAGCGCTGCCCTTAGGATGAACTAGATAGCATCTCGTACAATCTCGGCTCCGCTCGCCCGAGCTAGCTTGGCGCCGCCGACAAGCCCGATCTCAAGCGCCAGCCTCTAGAGCGGCCGGCTTGCGTGCCTCCTTCGCTCGCGCTGCCTAGCGGAGGCCTGTGTCCCTCGCCTACCCTCAAGCTCCCTCACGGAGCTCATATATACTGGCTTCGTGCCTTGAACTTGTGGGGGGGGGGGCTCGAACGGCCGGCCGTCCGGCCCCTCAGCCGCACAATTTCAAGGGCCCCGAGGATTGGGTGGCCTGGGCGCGCGGCGGACCAGGCGGCGCCAACGGCAGCTGGACGGGCGACATCGTGGATTTTTACAGGTGATGTGAAGGGCGGGTGGGTGCAGATGCCGAGGGCTGCTGCAAGGTGGCTTGATTGCAGGCCGCGCGGCCTGGCCGGCTTGCCTGTCATCACCCGTGCGTGCACAAAATAGTCTGCCAGATCCTGCAGGCCAATTCCCGCAGCCGTGCTGGTGGGCGCCCCAGTCACCCATTTGGCGCAGGTTCCCAGCCCCTTGAAACGTCCGCGCTCTCACTGCCACCCTCGCATCTTGGCATTCCGCATTTGCAACCGCCCTTGCTGCTCATGTACGCACCATCCAGGGACCCCTCTGTGCGTCAGCTGTACAAGGAGCACATTGCCTTCATGCTGTCCCGCACCAAGACCTTCAGCGGCCGCACCTACTCATCAGACCCAACGGTCTACGGCTATGATGTCATCAACGAGCCCAGGTGCGTGGGAGCCTCCAATAGCACAGAGTGAAGGCTGCTTTTCGCCCCTTCACCCAACCACGTGATCTTACCACACTTGCCCGCCCGAAGGTCTGAGGGCGTCCAACGGGTCTCTTAACCCCGTTTGGGCGTCAACATCTCCGCTGAATCCCACACGATGCAGGTGTCCTGGCTGCGCAGCCGCTGACCTGGCAGCCCACCTGGACTGGCTTAGTGACGTCACGGCGTTCACGCAGGGGCTGGTCAAGTCGGGGGCGCTGGTGCTGGCCGGTACTGAGGGCTTCTTCACGCCAGAGGCGTCGGGTGTGCTGCATGCGACTCTATCGCGACTGCTTGCTTGGTGTTCATACCGGGCGGGTGGGTTGCAACAACAACCTCAGCATCTTGTTGTTACCAGGCATGTCTGAGGCTGGGCAGCTGTGCCGGCGCTGCAGGCCTGTGGCTTCACTCTTGGTGGCAGATGTGATGGGCAGTGGGGGCCTGGTGCAAATGTCAAGATACATGTCAAGCCCTGATGCGCGGTGTGTGTAAGATGCTCTCGCAACCCACTGCGCACTCAACAACGCGACACTCTCGAGTGCACGCAGACTCGCGCGCGTGCACGCACGCCTGAAATCAACGCACACCCAGCATCACCCGCATGACACCACTTGCAAGCAGGCCACCTTGTCGCGCCCGGCTGGCGCCCCTGGGCAGTGGGCGCCCGGCGCGGGCTGCACAGCGTGCGCGTGTGCCGCGGACCGGCTGGGTCGGCGGTTGCAGGTGGCAAGCAGGTCACCGGCGGGGTGACGTATGCTGGGGTCTGTCGCTGACGTGCCTGTGCACATGGACCGGTGCTGGCGTGCACTTCCCCCCCTGGAGGTGGGCTGCCGGTCAGCCCAACCTAATCGTCCATCTCCTCTACCCGTCCATGCGGCCCCGAGACCGCCCCAGCCGCTCACCTACTCAGCCGGACATAGGGCGAATGCCCAGCTCTTGGGTCTTGGCTTGAAGTGCGCTCTGGCTAAGCTAGCGCGATGCGCTGTCCACAGTGTGATCCTATGCGACTCAGTGCGGCTTGCTGGCTTGGCTGGCTGAACCAACCCTTGCCCAACCCAACTATGTGCTTGGCCTTGGTGGCGACGCTGCTGAACAGCGATAGGACGAGACCGTTACTCCTTGATCAGCAGAAAGGTGTCGAAGCCAAGACCAGCCGTGCGGGCGCGCGGCTGGGCCAAAAGCAGGGCAAGCATGGGCGAAGGGGCACTTGCACCTTGGCAGCTTCCGCTGCCAGGGGGCCGTGGGCGGTAACGGCGCAGGGGCCCCCACTGTGCGTGACAACCTTTTGTCTGAAAACCCTGGTGCTGGGGCCGGCTGTGAGGGGGAGGATGTCATGCAGATCTCACAGCTGGGGGCAGTCGGCGCCATGACTGCGCACATCTACTGGAGGTGGGCAAGAGCTTTCCACACTCACAAGTTCGGAACTACCAAGGGGTTATTGAGGGGCGCGCTTGGTGCGAAGTATGGTGCTTCGTTGCAATGTGACAATGCTTTTTTTTAAACTGGACCTAGTTATTGACCTGGGCCGCTGGGTGTGGCACTGCTGGGCGCGCCAGGCACTCGCCTCTGTTCACAACACGCCTTGTGAAATCCCTTCACCAATCTTATGTCTTGCACTACCCCTCTGCTGCTGTTGCCTGCTCCTCAACCCCCTCGCCCATGCTCATCTCACTGCATCTCACTGCGTTCCCTGAGCAACCGTTGGACGGGCTTGTCCATCACCCCCCGTGTATCGTCCCTGCAGACACATGGAGCAAATGGCCAGCCTAGGATGGCGGAAGCCGACGTTTGAGGAATATGCGCCATATTTAGTCAGGCCAGCACGGGGCAGTGGGTTACTTTCTGTTGTGCAGGCAGGGCGTCCATGCATGCGCCCTGGCAATGCACACATCCATGCAAGAAATCTGACGGCAGTCTGCGGCGTGCTACTGCCAGGACTGCACTCAGCAATGTTTGTGTTCCTCTTTGCTGCTTGCTGCTCGTCATTTCGGCCCCTTCGCTCACCGCCTGGCGAGTGGTAGCCAAACGTCTTGAGTTCACCTGCCTTCTGCAACTCTCCATTCAACCGCTGACCCGCCCTTGGAACCTGCCAGGAAGCTGCAGCTGTACACTGACTTGGCAGCAGGCATGGGAAAACCCTTCATCGCGGAGGAGTTTGGTGAGTGGGCAGCACACGCGCCCTTGACAAAGCGGCACAGATTTTGCAGGCGACAATTGAAAGGTTCGCCTGCCTGGTCAGACATCTCAGATCGGCAAGCCTGGACCCCCTGAATGGTGCCCCTGGCTTTGCTTTCAAGCCCTCAGCTACTTGCTGATCAGGGCATGATTTGCACCGCACAGATCCCCGCTCTAAACCCCTCCGATCTCTCCTATGCCAGGGTTAACGCAGCGCTTCTTTGACCTTGAGCAGCGCAAGGTGGTCTTCGCCATCGTCCTCAGCCGCCTGGTGCAGTCCAAGAGGGAGGGCAAGGGCTTCATAGCCGCCCTCTTCTGGAACGCGGCGCAGCCGAGTGAGAGCTGCACCCACACAGGCGGGGCCGCGCTGGACCGCAGCTGTGTGACTGGGACGAAATGGCTGCGTCGCATCACGCATGGCAGGGGCGGAAGATTGAACGCGCAACCGAACTTGCATTGCACGCACGGGCCTGCACGGACTTCCGTCTGTGTCCACTGACAAAACCTATCTGATCAACAAAAAATCACTCGCTCCACACCTCGCGTCAATCGCTCCAGACATGGCCAACGGTGACGGCTACGATGTCCAGGTCACCAAACCGCCTTCTGGCGCCACCGTTAGCCTCGCCAACCCGCCTCCACCGCCCTCTGCCGCCGGGGCTGGCAACACCACTGCTGACGAGGCGGCCGCCATGTCGCCTGCCGCCTCGCCTGGGTCGCATCAGTACGGGCGGCGGATGCTGAGGGAAGCGGCAGCCGGTGAGGCGCAGCTTCTGCTGCCCGGGCCGTTCGGCACGAGTGGGCCTGGCGGCGTCACCAGACGCCTGTCCCAGGTGGCCGTGACGCCCGGATATGACGAGCTGGACACTTTCAGGTGGGTGTGACGGCGACCTTGGATTGCCGCATGGGAATCTGTTCGAGCGGTCCTGTTTGCGGCCACATCTGCATCCCCACAAGCAGTTTAACGCTATGTAAAGTAATGTAAAGATCTAGACGGCATGCGGCATGCAAGCATATGCGGTTGCAAGTATATCCGGGCGCCCACAGCACACATTATGTAATCACATCGGAGTCTCCCCGGAGGCGCCCCGCCTCCAAACACGCGTGCAACGCCCAACCATGCCCCAGGCGCGCGTCGGCGCGCACCTCCTGCGCCAACGCGGCCGCATACCACTGGTCCTTCAACAAGCCGCCTCAAACGGTGGACGTCACCGCGTGGCGGGCGCGCGTGGCGCCTGTGGATATCGTTGACATAATTGCGGAGGCGGCCGCCCTGCTGGCTGCATAGATCACCCCAAGGCATGCTTGCATCGTTTTTTGCGCAGAGACTGCATCTACAGCATTCATATACTGGTACGACCTTCCTGCTGCCATGCAAAGATGTCCTGTCCTACCTTGTTGATGCTTTGTTCTCTAGTTTTGCCACTTGATCGCGCCTTCACAAGCTCTTGCAGCACATTCAGTGGCCCTCGCCGGGCGCAGCTCCCCTCATCATTGCGTGGGTGACTTGCCTTGCAATCCCTCGCAAAGCCATGCTTGCAAAAACGTCACCCCCAACACTGCCAAGATTTTAACTCCGCCTGCTTGCTTCCGCTGGTGCATGGCTTCCCCGGGCTGCCCTGCCTGCTGGTTGCAAGAGCAGCAGGTTGTCAGGCGTGCATGCAGCACTGCAGCAGAGAAAGCGGGAAGTGTGGGGTGGGCGAACCCCTGTGTGCCCCTGAAGGCTGGCAGGCAGTACGATCCTGGATAAAGTCTTCATTTACGCGTGCTTCCACATCGCCTTTGCATCGCCACCGTCCATTGGATGTTGTGCCTCATCGTCCAGTTTGAACATGAACACCTGTTGCACAGTAAGCGAGTTGATGCACCACACAGGGTACGCAGCGGGGTGTACTACGCGCATCAAATACGATCAGTCATCTCAACGCCACCCAAGCCATCAACTGGGGCGAAGTTCGACAGTCTGGGTGCATGCGCGCTGGTTGAAGGGCTGCGGTGAGGAAGAGCAGGACGCACGTGGTTGTGAGGTGCGAGCGGCCGCATGTGCGAAGTCTGTCTGGCGGCCTTGCGGCTTTTGATTGTGCTGTAGTATAGTTGTTGGGTCCCAGGAAGGTCGTCAAGGTCGTGGTGGCCAAGCTGGCCAACAGCGCGACGACGTCACCGGCAAGGCACTGGATGACTGATGCAGATCACTCCCCCCTCCACTCGACACCAACTTGACCTATCTGTGTAATCACAAACCCGGAGACTAGTCCAATCACCTTCGCACAGCAGGCCCAGCTCGTGTTTGCCGCTGGTTGGTTGCACCCGCCCTCGAGCGCTTGCTCTGTCGAGCAGCTTGAGAAATCTGATTCATCAGCTTTGATCCAGGCACCATGGCGGGTATGCTTGGCCTGGCGCCGCGCAGCGCTGAGCAGCGCAGCAGTGTTGCAGGGCCGTAGCCATGCGCCAGGCTTGTTGTGCGCGCATCGACAGGCCTTCAGGCAACAAGCAGCTGCGCACAGCACTAGCTACACCCGCATGCAGCACGCCCACTATTACACTGCAATACCACCTACACGCCCATCCCATACTTGCTCCGCATATACGCCCGCCCAGGCGAGGGCGCGAAGAAGCGCCTTGAGCAAAACCAGCGGCGCCTGGCCGCGCTGCGCATCGCCATCCTCACCACCACCGCGCTGTACGCCGCCGTGCGCCTCTTCCTGCGCGCGTCCAGCCGCGGCGCGTGGCACTGGGTCGGGCTCGTGGTGACGCTGCTCGCGCACGCGGCGTCATACGGGGCCATCCAGGCGGCGGCGCGCCCGACGTGTTCTAGCACGGGCGCGCTGCTCGATGGCGGCAGTGACCTAGACAAGGGGACGGCGTCCTCATACCACGACGTGCTGTGAGTGGCCGGCACCTCCGGAGCAGGGGTTGGGCTGTCACGACTTGACTGCGAGGCGACGCGCGCCTGCGGTTGTCGGCAGGAGCTGATGCGACTGCTGCTGCTGCTGCTGCTGCTGCCGCTTTTGCTGCTGCCGCCGCTGCTGCCGCTGCTGCTGCTGCCGCTGCTGCTGCTGGCGATAATGCTTACAGCGGCGCCCGCCCGCTGTGAGCAGTCGGCACCTCCCACCCCCCTTTGACAGCCGCTCACACACCTCCCACACCCATCCTTCCCTGGCTCGCGCTGCACCGCCTGCCGCAGCTACATCACGTGCGCGGTCCAGGCCGTCTCCGCTTTCACCAACTGGGGCTGGTGGCTTTACGCCTCCGTGCCCGCCTACGCCGGCTACAAGCTGTGGACCCTCTTCATATATCCCAATTTCATCAAGGCCAAGCCTGAGGCGGAAGACCAATTGGATGACAAGACTCGCGCCAAGCTGGAGCGGGCCGACCGGAGAGCGGAGCGGCGGCGCGTCAAGCGATTCTGATTGGCCGCGTGTTGCAGCAGCACCAGAAAACGGCCTCGCGCCGCAGGGCCCCCGCCCGGCGGCGGCGGAGAGCTTGGGGTGACAGCTTTGAGGTGACGCTGTCTGCTGAGCAGGGTTTGGGGCGTCGAGCACTGCTGCCGGCTGTTGACCCCCTGGTCTGCCGCGGCGGTGCGTGTGTGTGTATGCGCGCGCGTGTGTGTGTGTGTGTTGTGTGTGTGGCGAAGCGGTGGTATCACTAGTCTGTTACACGGTTGACTAATGACAAGTCTGGGAAGGGGGCGTCTTCTGAATGCAGGAAAATGTGCATGGCAGTCCGCAAATGCAGGCATGGGGCAGGGGAACCATGCATGCGTCTGCAAGCAAGCCATGCTCAACCTGGTTAGGACATTACGGCACGTGCGCAGGTTGGGCGCGCGCACGCAAGGTCGCTGCCGTGCGCGGCCCGACGCACGGCGAAGGGGGGAGGATTGCAGGTGTGGTGCGCGGATTCAACTTATTGCCAGTGCCAAATAGCCGCAGCCCAAGCAACCAGAAAGTAACTTCAAAGGAACCCATGCCCCCCTTGAGCCTCCTGCAACCAACTCCGAAATTATGCAGCTGCGCTGCACCAGATGCATCGCGGGCTGCAGCCCGCTCGACCAGTTCACACGACGGATCAGATCCGACGGCGATCTCAGATCGCACCAGATCTCAGATCAGAAGTTCCTGACGCTGTCGACGATCGCGTCTGCCAGGTAGTCCACCTTGGCGCTGCTGAGGCCCGCCAGGGAGATGCGGCCGTCACGAGTCATGTAGACGGCGTGCTTGTTGGTCATGTTGTCCACCTGCGACGCCATGCAAAAGGAGTGTTGAAAAAGCCGCACCGTCCGGCGGTCGCAGGGACAATATTGCAAACTGTGATCCAAGAGCAAGCCTGAAGGGGTGAGACGCGGCTCAGGGCTGACTTCTGCTGGCCAGCACAGCGGCCCTCGGCCAGCCCCTCCTCTGCCCGCGGTCCCCAAAGAAATGACTTCAGAGGAGAGCCTCCCGGAACCCCACCTGCTGCGGGCTCATGCCGGTGTACGAGAACATGCCGATCTGCTTGGTGACGAACGACCAGTCCTTATCAGCCATGCGCTTCTCCAGGGCGGCCCGCAGCTCGCCGCGCACCTTGGAGATGCGGCCGGCCATGCCTGCGCGTCGGGGGAATGGAGCGCGACGGGGTGGGGATGCAGTTCTTGGTGAGTGCTGAAGGGTGAGTGTGCATGTTGGGGTGAGTGTGCCCCTGATCATTTTCTGCATGTGTGTGGTGTGAGTGTGTGGTGCATGTGTGTGTGAATTCGACTCGTCGTTTGTGTCTGTGTGTGTGCTTTGTGTGCACGCGCAAGGGCAGGGCTGCAACCATGCCTGTTCGGGGTGCATGGTCGAATTGCTACTGGGGCGTAAAGCCAGCAGCAGCTGAGGCTGTCGCGTGCCGCCGGCTGCACCAGCAGGGTGGCAATCGCGAATGCAACGCGGGTCACGCGGAAGCAGGCACCCCTAGCGGCCGCCTGGCGTCCCCTTTCAACCCCTGCCCCCTAGCCACCCCACACCCATCCCGCGGTCACCAGCTTCGAGACACCTAGTACATGACACACCCAGAGTCCCTCGCAGCAGTCATCCACAAGGTCCAACCCTTCAACCCCAACCAGAGCGGCGCCATGTGGCCCCTCACCTGCCATCTCGCCCTTCCACTCCTCAAACATCGCGGCGTCGCCGACCACCTCCGCCGCGATGCGCGCGCCGTGGGTGGGGGGGTTGGACCACAGGGCGCGCGCAATGCGCTTCAGCTGACTCAGCACGCGCTTGGCGGACTGCCGGCGGGGCGGAGGAGGTGATTGGTGGTGAAGCAAGGGGTGAGGGTAAACAAGAGGCCTGGAATGTGTTTGTGTGTGTGTGTGTGTGTGTGTGTATGTGTGTGACACCCTCTTTGAGCACGCTGCAATGCCCTAGCTGTCTACCCCAAAAGCACAACCTGTCGTCCACCACATGGGCGCAATGTAGGCAGCAGATATGCCCTGACCGCCCTTCGCCAGATGTTGCGGCCCTGTCTCGCACCCCCCACAACAACCCCAAAATCCTAATATGACCTAGTGGCAAGCTCCGCATTAGGATGCCAGACAATCATTTGATCAACACCTCAATTTCTAGTCCCCGCACCCAACCGAAGCCGGCCCCAGCCGACAGCCGTCTGTCCGCTGCAAGCCGGCGCCCACAACCCCTGCCCCGCCACGCCAGCTAACCTCGGAATCGGCCAGCACGAAGTTGAGCGCCCCCACGCGCTCCCCGTACAGTCCAAGGTTCTTGGAGTAGGACTGCGCCACCACCACCTCGAGGCCGTTGTCCACAAACAGGCGCGGCGCGAAGGCGTCCTTATCCAGGTCGCCTGGCGGTTGGGGTTGGGGTGGTGGTTGGGGCGGCAGTTGAGGCGGTCGCGCGGGCGTCAGAGTTTGGGGGTAGGGGGCGGTGGGGGACAGCGGTCGAGGGCGGCCACAGGCGGCGGCGAGCTGTGTTGGGTGCGTTTGTGGCGCGCAGGCGGCGTGGGGCAGTGGCAATGCGAGGCGCGCAGGTGTCCCCGAATGACGCGGCAGCACTAGGGCGATTGAGCAGAATGCGACTTGTCCAACCATGCAAAATCAGTCGCGCAAGCCCTCACCCTGGCCCCCCGGCCCCAGGGGTGATGACAAATCATTCAACATTACCCACCCGTGGCAAAGCCCTGGTATGCCACGTCGAAGAATGGGAGGTGGCCCTTCCGCTTGCACAGGTCAGCGATGGCCTGCCACTGCTCCGGGGTGGGGTCCACGCCGGTGGGGTTGTGGGCGCAGCCTGGAGGGCGCGGAGGGGGCCAGGCGGTCGGCGCGGCGCGATGTGTGGGGCGGGCCGCTGTGGGAGGCACGGCTGTCTGAGGTGGGTGCAGGGGACACGAGAGAAGCGAGCGTGCGGCAGCAATGCGTTGTGGCGGAAGCGCGGCAGAAGGAAGCAAAGAAGGGCCATCGGCAGCCACAAAGGTTCGACGCCTGCCGGCTGCCACGGCCGCCCGCTGCACTGGCAGGTCGGCATCGGACGGCATCGGATATCTTGCAAGGCAAGCGCAAAAGCGCCCGTTCCAATGTTCCGTTGCGGCCGGCCCCTCACCGTGCAGCAGCACGATGGAGCCGTCCGGCGCCGCCTCCAGGTCTGCCGTCATGCCGGCAAAGTCGAGGCCGACGGTCTCCGGGTCAAAGTACCTGGCAGTTGGCGGTTGTTGTCGGTTGTGTGAGCGGTTACGCTGATCGGTTGATGGCTGTTGAAGCTGGCAAGCTAGCAATCGCATACGGTAATGGCGACAATCACGTTGCAAAGAGCACATGCACGCGCACGCCTACACGCATGCACGCGCAGGTGAGCAGAATCACGATTATGTCCAACAGGCACGCGCGGGGTGCGGAAACACGCCGCGCCTGCACACCTGTACTTGGCCCACTCCACGCGCTCATCACCAAATATGTTCATGTGGTTGCCTGGGGTGATCGAACAGGCAAGAAACAGCTCAAACTGAGGCACAAACTGACAGGCGTTGTGGAAATCAGGGAAAACGGAAGAGTGGGAAACTGCTGGTTTCCTGTCCATGCACCTTATTACACCCATATCCCAGGCCGTGCCTGCGAATGTGCTGCGTACCCCAGCATCGCTGCCGTCACGTCATCTCCATGGCCCCGCCTCACCCCAGGTCGGGTTGGAGATGAACACCTTGGTCCCCGGCATGAACTTGCCGACAAAGGCGGCGCCCACGCGCAGGGCGCCGGTGCCGGACAGCGCCTGGATGCACGCCACGCGGCCCTGGGGTCGGGACCGGTGTGGAGACGCGGGAGGGGTGTGGAGGCGCCGTGAGGTCGGTTGGGGCGCCGCAGCCGGGACGCGCACTCTTGTGGGGACGCCTGCTTTCAAAAGTCACACGGGATCGCGCGTCCGGGCCGCAAACCCCCAAAGTGAACCCCAAGCACAGCGTCAGGAGGCGGTCACACAACACCTCAAGCAGCCCGTCCACCCCCTGCAGCCCACCTCCTTGATTGCGGGGTGGCTGGAGCCCAGCAGCAGGTCAACAGTGGCGGCCCTGAAGGCGTCCAGGCCCTCAATGGGCAGGTACTCCTTGTTGTAGCCCGCAGCCAGCATCTTCTTCTCGGCCTGGCGGTTGGGGTTTGGTTGGGGTTAGTTTAGGT